TCACACCACAGTGAAGGCACGCTGGATATAAAATCCCGCCGAAATACCTTCAAGTGAGTCAGCCTCGGTGAGAAACAAATTGTTTGAACAGTAGACTTAATTAACTCGAGCTTTTGTCTTCCATCACAGCAGGTGTGAAGTCCCAGGGCATCTGCTGGTACACCTGAGCTAGAGCTCAGAGTAGCTTCCTGAGGACTGTGAGAAATGACGGAGGCATTAAACAAGGCCATTATGGTCTAGCAGCGCTTTCCCGCTGCCTGCAGGGGAGCCTCCAAAGGAGAGGGAAATGCAGGCGTGAGCCCTCCCGGAGTTTGTCTACTGTGTGTCTTTTAACTTTCAAAGAACATTTAGCACGAATGGAAAGTGCAGTTGGGCTTCCAGTGAGGACTGTCTTCGTTAGCAGATCTGTGCTGCCTCCCGATGATAAAGGGGAGGGCCAGAGAGGTGAGGCGCAGCTGAGATGCAGATGGCCCTTTCTCGTGGTGGCCGGATGGACAGGAAGCCCTCACGTGTACAGTGCTGGGAATTAGGGGAAAATGATTCTAGAGCATTTCCTCAGGTTTAGCTTTCCAGTTACATAGACTTAAACATCTCTCTCTTTGGAAATTATTTTGCCCTAAGTTGAGCTTGCCTTCATTAAATGCCGTTTCCCCTTAGACTCACGGTTTATTGTAATGTATATTAAATATGGCAATAAAGTTCCCAGGGACAGAGTACAGAGCGCAGACATAACTTCTTGTCTAGTTGTGCTTTCAAGCTTGGTTTCATCCACTAATGACTGGGCTATGAAATTCACTTGGGTGTCCTACATATTAAAAAAAAATCCAATTTTCTTATTATTAATTGTACTGATGAGACTGACTGCTTTCAATGATTATGATGTAATACCCAGTTTGTAGAAAAGTAACCTCCCCAGGCCCCAAACGGATTCTCATTTTCTATCAGAAAGGTTGCTGACGTGTGATGATTTTGGAGGGGTAGAACTTTTTGAAGCCTTAGCTAGCTTCATTATTTTGATTTGTCACCCACATTAAAATGCCGACTTAGATATGTATATTTTTAGACATGATTTGTTGATTCCTCAGATACCTGATCAATAAGAATAGAGCACTTGCAGTATGGCCAGCAATGTGCTGGCAGCTGTTAATTCAAACACACACAAACACACACACACTACAGTCACAAGCAGGTCAGAGGAAGACGCTGAGCTCGTGGGCTTGTTGGTTCAATCGTCTGGGGGATATGTCCTTTGTGTGTGACCTTGGGAATAGATTTCCTGAAGGTCTCTTCCGCTGTCCCAGGCAACTGTGTTCATAGGCTGAGGCTGAATCCACGAAGCCGAGGCTCAACCTGTGACACATGCCAACTCTCTCCCTGACTGTGACTGAACCACTATTCTTCGATGCTAGAAGCAGTGGCATGGGCTGGGGAGCCCGTGGGGTTCCCCAGGAATTGTTGGAGGTCCTGGGGGGACTGGTAATTAGCAAGCAGAAAAAGCTTGAACATGAGAAGTACGAAGTAACGTGATCTATTCTCTCTGGAGAGACCTGTGGAGGTGAAGTTACATTTGCAGTGGGCATAAACATAGTGTGCTAGCGGGCTGGGGAGAGGGTTCCGTCAGCAGAGGGCCTCCATGCGGGCACGCCGCCTTGGTTCAGATCCCCATGGAGAGGATGAGGAGAAAAGAAAAACCAGGGAATGGCAGTGTGCTCCTGGGTCCTCAGCTCTTGGGGAGTGAAGACAGATGAATCTCTGGAGCTCACGGACGAGCCATTCTAACCAGTAGGTGGACACTGGGTTCAGTAAGAGGTCTTGTCTCAAAAAGTAATGTAGAGAGCAACTGAGGGAAACACCTGGTGTCAGCCTCTGTCCCCGACATACGTGAATGTGTGCACACATGGACACAATTGTACATACACAGAAAAGTGTGCATGAAGCATGTGAGGAGGACAGAGCGAGTGATCTAGATCTGTGTTGGGGGAGGGGGTAGTAAAGGGAAGGAACGTGAGGTGGTGATGGGTTTGGGGCGTTTAGAGAACCCTGGAAGACCCTGTGTGGCCAGACAGGACTACAAAGCGGCGAATAGACTGGGTGCCGGGGGAGGGATGGTTAGGCTGGGAGGGAGGGGATGATTAGGCTGGGGGGAGGGGATGGTT